CGCTCCGTTACCTGCGCCTCCAGCGGCCCTGCGTCCTCTGCGCTCTCATCCTTGCGCGGGCCACAGACGGCCGACACCGCGCACCCAAAGCTCGCCCCACTCCGGCGGCGCCCGCTCTGACAACCTAAGACGGGCCCGCGGAGCGCCGGGGCCCTCGGGCCCACACCCTCCGCCCCGCCCCTGGGGCCGTTGGTTGGCGCTTCCAAGACGCCGGCGGAGGTACCCGGCCGTCGCTGCTCATTGCCTATTGGTCCATGGCCCTGTCGCTCAACGCTCAGTTCCTGCTTCCGCTTCTTTCCCCCATTTCCTGTTAGGCGCGAGCTGAACGAGCGAAGCGGGGAGCGTGGACTACGAGTTTCCCGGTAAGCCAAGGTCGGGCTGTAGGGCCCCACGGGGCCTCTAGTGCTCGGAGTCCGGGGATGGGTCGGCCCTGGTAGGAGACGGTGGGAGAGCCCCGCTGCCTTGGCTCGAGAGAGTTCAAGAGCGGCTTCTGTCCCAGGAAAGGGGATCACGCATGGCGCTGCTGGGCCGGGAGGCACTTGCTAAGGACACGTCAGCCTTCAGGGCGGCGGGTGGGTGACGGTGCACGGTCCTACGGATTTGGGAGGGGAAGTGCGAAACCAGACGCCTGCGGTTCTCGGGGAAGGGACGGGGGTGGGCCCCGCGTGCACGGAACCCAGGAGCTAGAACGTGGAAGGGCGTGCGAGGAGTCCTCGAAAAGCAGCTCTAGCCTTGGCCCTCTCGGTGGTAGAAAATTAACCAATCATCACTACGCTTTTCTTTTTAGCGGCCACAATCAATTAAGTCCCCTTTATACGCTTTTGCTAATTTTTAGTGAGTCTTATTCTAGAAGCGCGCTAATGACTTAAGCATTCCAAAGAGGTGCGCACAAAAACTTGTATGTGCACTTACGGAAAATGAGTAGTTGGTGGATTTATACATTACTGACCTATTTTCCTATACTTATAAAGTACTTACAAAATGTTTATATCTGTTTTAAATATCTCAACAGTTTCCATCGTACAGACACACCTCTACTGCCAAGATGGTGAATGTGCCTAAAACCCGAAGGACTTTCTGTAAGAAGTGTGGAAAGCATCAGCCTCACAAAGTGACCCAGTATAAGAAGGGGAAGGATTCCCTGTACGCCCTGGGAAAGAGGCGCTACGATAGGAAGCAGAGTGGTTACGGTGGGCAGACAAAGCCGATTTTCCGAAAGAAAGCGAAAACTACCAAGAAGATTGTGCTGAGGCTTGAATGTGTGGAGCCTAACTGCAGATCAAAGAGGATGCTGGCCATTAAGAGATGCAAGCATTTTGAACTGGGAGGAGATAAGAAGAGAAAGGGCCAAGTGATCCAGTTCTAAGCTTTTTTTGAGAAGAAAATGTTAAAGCTGTAGAAAAATTACCTGTATGAAAATAAATGCAGTGATATTCTTACTCATATCTTTTGTGTTTTTTGAAATACAGAATTTCATGTTTAATGTGGTTATAAATTAAGGAAATGAGTAAATTTGTAAGTGAATCCTCTTCAAATTATTCAACTTAATTCTAACAAGAATTGAAAATTTTTATATGTAAAGGTATGAGTCCCACCTCAAACTTAATAGCAGGGAAAATATTGGTACTTTATCTGATCAATTTCAAATATATGTTGGGTGAATTTACAATCATGATTGATGAGCTGCTGGGAAAACTAAGATTTTGAAAAATAAATGAAGAGGACAAGCTAAGCCTGTTATGTATAGCAGACTGAGTGGGGCAAAGGATAAGGGGATAAAAACGTACTTTTTGCAAATGTACTGTAGTAGGAACCACTGGCCACATATAGCTACTTAAATTTAAAAGGCAGTTCCTCAGTTATACTAGCTATATTTAGAATTAACATATGGTTAGTGGCTACACTATTGCACAACATGGATACAGAATACTTCCCATCAGTTTTTGGATAGCATTCTTTCGGTCTTGAATGTAAGGTAGGAGTTAAAAACTCACTTCTACCTAAAATTCTGAAGCTAGTAAAAAACAAAACAAAACTAAGTCTGCCCAGCCAGTGTGGCTCAGTGGTTGAGCACTGACCTTTGAACCAGGTCAGGATTCCATTCCCAGTTAGGGCACATGCCCATTGCGACTTCCATCCCCAGCAGGGGCCATGCAGGAGGCAGCCAATTAATTTACATCAGTTTCCAACACTTGCTCCCTCTTCCTCTCTGAAAGCAAACTTATCAAAACCACCCATAAGTCTATGATACCATGAACTTTTTGGTTTTATAACATACTATAATTAAAGTTACGTGAATGTGGTCTCTCATAACTAATAACTGCACTATTTGGAATGGCCCACAATTTTAAAACAATTATTTCTGGAATTTTTCCATTCAATATTGTCAGATCTTCACTGACCATGAGTAACTAAAACTGCAGATAAGGGTACTCTGAGATGTACTCAAATGTAACTTCTTGACTGTTGGGAAGGTTGAGAAGTTAAGCAGGTAAGATTGAAAAGAGAATGGAATATGGAAACTCAGAAGTGAACCTAGTCATTGTCTATGAAAGATAAGAAACAAGTTGAGTATCAAAAGGAAAAACTGGGAAAGGATATAGATTATGAGAAGAGGGCAAGAAATTCTGCTTTTTGTATTGGCAGCTAGGGTATTTATATGGGATGGTTTGTAGATGAGTAAGACAGGCAAAGGACTAGGGTGTAGGAGTATGATAGTTAATACTTACAACGTTGACTTTTCTGTCTGCATTTGTTAATGAAAAAATAATTGTTTTTCTACAAGAACAAAATTCAAATATGCACAAATTTTAAATATGCCATAAAACATCTACCTTAAGGAACCATGCTGTTTTTTAAATCTTCACCAGATATATTTAGGCATGTTTGCATTATATATAATTTTTTAAAATAAAAAAACTAGAAATTATATATGAAGATTTTTTCAGGAAGAATTTAAGTACTAGCAATACAAATTTAAGGTCATCCAAAGAATTACTCCTCTGGACCAAGATCTTGTCTCAAAGAATCAGCTCTGAGAGGAAATTTTAGAATTCATATACATCAAGTTTTAATAAAAATTCAAAACTATTCGCTCAAGAATATTTGCATTCTCAGGGTGAAAAATGCCCCAAATAAATACTTTAGGAAGACAATGGAGGTTATATAAGTCATAAGAAATAGTCATATAGCCCAGCTGGCATGGCTCAGTGGTTGAGAGTTGACCTATGAACCAGGAGGTCACGGTTCAATTCCCGGTCAGGGCACATGCCTGGGTTGCGGGCTCCATCCCCAGTGTGGAGCATGCAGGTGACCGCTGATCCATGATTCTCTCATCATTGATGTGTCTCTCTGTTTTCCTTTCTCTCTGAAATAAATATAATTTTTAAAAAAAGAAATAGTTATATAGACTCCACCTATAACTCCAAGCCCAAAGCAGCAATAATATACTGCTGGAAAAGTTTTTCTCCAGTAACTTTTACTCTTTATCCTCCTTTGTTCTGAGAAACTAGTTATAGGGCTACTAGGGGCCCAGGGCACAAATTTGTGCACGTTGAAAGGAACTATGGGCTGCAAGGCTGCAGTAGGCACAGGGGCGGGTATTACCCCATCCTCCGCACCCCTCTTCCTGCCGTAGCCCCGTCACTGCTGCCGCTCCCACACACTAACAGCACCAGCCCCGCTCGCACCCGCTGAAGGTGCGGAGTAATTGGGGCCAGCACCATCAGTGGGTACAAGCGGCAGCTGCTGCCCCGATTGCCCCTCAGGAGCAGGAGGGGGTAGAGAAGCCGTGGGGGCAGATACAAGTGCTGGACAGGACCACGGCACACAGGAGCAAAGAATTTTCAGTAACCACCAGAGGCTCACCCCAATGACAACAACCATGCCCCACCTTGGTCTGGTGCCCCTGTTCACCTGCTCCACCATCCCACCGTGGCAGACACCCACCATGATCCGTGCATGCCCCCTGGTGGTCAACACACATCATAGTGACGGGTTGGTTCCACCATTTGGTCTATTTGCATATTAGCCTTTTATTATATAGGATTATAATGATCTAGGGGAGAGGTTGATTTAAGAAAGGCAGGGGAATGAACAGAAGGAACAGTTCTAGGGATTCCAGACTGTTTCAAGTTGGTTACTTTTCTGTCTTAACTTCAAACCCTCCTCATCCTTTAGTTGGTGTATGGCCACCACTCTTTACATTTAAAAAACCTAAACATATTAAGTTACTAAAATAATAAACAGAAAAAGAACCCTCAAATAACACAAAATAATGTCAGTAAAAAGTAGCACTTTTCTGCTCCTCTCACCCAACCAAAAACCTTGCTAGAATTCTAAAAATAAAACTTAGAAATACAACAAAGATTATGTGATTAACATTATAAAACTTATAAAAAGCTGAAGTCTTTCCCAAAGCAACTCCTACCTTATACTTGGTGAATGTGAAATTCTATATATAGAATAGGTGGTATAACTTAAAAACTTACATACCAAACAAGTTTTCACTATAATTTAGGCCAGTGGTTCTCAACCTTCTGGCCCTTTAAATACAGTTCCGTTGTGACCCAACCATAAAATTATTTCGTTGCTACTTCATAACTGTAATGTTGCTACTGTTATGAATCGTAATGTAAATATCTGGTATGCAGGGTGGTCTTAGGCGACCCCTGTGAAAGGGTCGTTCGACTGCCAAAGGGGTCACGACCCACAGGTTGAAAACCGCTAATTTAGACCATACTAATTCTCCAAAGAATATTTTCTGCATACAAAAACTCAATTTCTTTCATTTTATTTTATGAAAAAAGAAAGTTGGTAAGAAAATTCTATGACCAGAGTGATTGGGATTACTATCTATTTAACATTAAAAGATAACCCCACAACCTATTCTGGACACACTAGGCTAAAATCAACACAAGTGCAATAAAAACAAAAGTTAACCCCACAATAAAATCAGATTTTAATGAAATCAAGGTTTTCCAGTCAAATTATTGAAAATGTTAGCTAACACACATTCTTCCCCTCAAACATGTATGTATGCAAAAAAAGCTTCCCTTTCTCCAATGTGACATTGTTAAACCATAAATGAATCCCAAACTGATCTGTAATTTCTTTTTGTGGTATCATCTATTACTTTAGCATTTCACAGGAATTTGCATAACATGACAGAGAACAGAAATAAGAAATAATGGGTGCTTCAGTGCCACCCATATTATCTACTAAGACCACAGTGTGAGCAACAGAGTGTAGATTCATGGTAGTCATTCCCTCAATAAAACTGTTTAGACAGAATCTTCCACAAACACAGGTTTTTGCAGTATCCAAATCTTGGCAAAGATGAAAAGGAATAATATGAGAGCCATATGGAATCCTATTGGAAAAAGAAGTTTTAAAAATATTTTAAAATATGTTACTAGATTCAGAACTTCACATATTAGGATATGAATTATTGAACACAGAATTATAACCATAAAAAATAAAACTATTAATTAAATGACACAGTATATTGTTTTATCTTACAAACTGGGTAATGAAGAAAATATTCCAAAAAACAGCATATGATATATTATTAGAGTAACATGATAAGTTAACCATTTGTACATCATAAGCATCTATAGACGCAAGCAGCGGAACTTTTTTGTTTAAATTCAAAATATCGAGGCAGTTAACTGGTTAAATATATAGCTCTGTCATACAATTCTCATGATGGTCACTGGAGAATTAAGGATTTCTACTTGTGAAGAAACATTTAAATAAATCGACATACTCTCCTAAGCATCAATTATTCAAAAGGAAATTTTAAACTGTGTGAAACAAATTTAAAACATTGTTTGGGGCATTAGTTTTACTTTACTGGCTGAGCAAGTAAGGCTGTCCTCACCTTGCTTAAATTACTCACCCTCCTGCTTTGCATTGGTGCCCAATGCAATGAAAATCAAGTCTAAGTCGTTGCCCTCATCTACACAAAACTAAAAGACAGTCTCTTGGGATTGCCTGCCTACTGCCCGACTTCTTCTCCCTAAATAAAACAGTGCCCCAGGTACTTAGTTGCCTGTATACTGCTGTTTCTATATGTTGGCACACATTAGGTGTTCAGATATTTTTCAACAAATAAATAAAACCCAGTCTTATTTCAACCAAAGTTTAAAACCCTTTTAGAAAAGTCTGAAAAGAAAAATATCAAATCAAAAATTGTCATTTACTTTTCTTAAGGAATTTGAAATTGGCCTGATTTGCAATTTTTCATTTTTTCACATGTACTTATTTGTTGCTTGTGTAAGTAACTATTTTTAAAAAACTGTGCCAGCAATTTATAATAGCTAAGATCTAGAAACAGCCAAGTGCCCATCAGTAAATGAGAGGATAAAAAGTTCCGTGGTATATTTATACCATGGAATACCATGCAGCAGTAAAAAAAGAAGGATCTCTTACCCTTTGAGACAGCATGGAGGGACCTGGACAGTATCATACTAAGTGAAATAAGTCAGTCAGAGAAAGACAAGTATCACATGATCTCACT